TGAATTTTTGTCTACATTACTCATTTTTCATTTAGTTCATATTTTTGTCATTAAATGTTGCTTATATTACGTAATAATATGAAATATCGACGAGATACGATTTAGGTGACCAGTACGCATTCAGCAACTTTCCCCTAATATATAGAAAAATTATCGTATTTTAAGAATTAAACGATTATTACATTTGCTGTATTGAAAAATTATCTTGGATTATGAATTATTAAATAAAATCAATTATTTTATTAACGTGATTTGTTTCGTTTGTTTCAGGTTCATAAACGCGAGACGTAGAATCGTTCAACCAATGATCGACCAGAGTAATCGAGCCGGTAAGACGAATCCACTTCAGCCAACAAACATTTACACACACTCATACAATACAAGAGACACGTACAATATTGTGCCATCTATTACTGATACTATATCTCACGAATCTATTTATTTTCCGTATTACTTTTCTCATTTTTATAATATATTATAGGACCGTATATGTGTGTGTAATAACACAAACTATAGAAATCAAAGTCTTAAACGGTCTAACTGGATTTTAAATGTTTACATGATTCTTGTGTAAATTTATATACTACGTATGTAGTCCTCAGAAATGATTTTTCACCATCTTCGAAACGATCTTAATAATGTTGAAGGACGTATTAAAATTTGTAAATAATTAATTTTTATTACGAAAAATATTATCTCGGTCAGGAGTCGAACCCGAATTTCTTGCATTCCGTGCGAGCGTCCTAAGCTATTATTATCATTATTAAGATCGTTTCGAAGATGCGAATGAGTATCAAAAATTTATTAAATTGCTAGTCAATTTAACTCGTGATATTACTGCTGTAGTTTAGTAGAATTAGCGTTTCAAGACCGAAAAATCATTTCGGCACGCGTTTCTGGGGACTACATACGTAGTATATAAATTCACACAAGAATCATACAAGCATTTAAGATCCAGCTAGACCATTTAAGGCTTTGATTTCTATAGCTTATGAATTAACATAATTTATTTTAAATTAAATAAGAAATTTGTTTTTTTATTAAGGTGCTTTAGTAAGTCAATTTTTGTGCATTTTAAGATTGTTCCATGTTATTAAATTTTTCAATAAAGTTTCATTTTTAACGAAAAATTATTATTACATTTAATATGAATATTTATTATGATTTCTATTACAAAATGAGAGAAAACTTAACAAATAACTAAAAAATTGTACACAAATTTCATACATTTTAATTATACATATGTTAAAAAATTCATTAATGTCAATTTATATACAATTATAAAGTAATCTTTTTTTATTTAAGATACTGTTTTTAAATAGTATTTTTAAAAGTCTGATTTATTATAGGAAATAATCAGATTATGAATTTCAAATTAATGTTGTCATTTTTACAATAAATACAAAGTATGCAATAATTTTACATTAATATAAAGTATTTTATCATTTTCTTTTTACATACTAAAGGTAGCAGTTAGTATGGAAACTTGATTAACAGCTGATGATTTATGAATGGTTGTATAGTATAATTATAGTTGACAATTTAATGCAACAGTCACGTCTAATACCTCTTTAATACTTCATGTAATAAATATTCAGTCTTTACGTAGTATATTCTTGGTATTATTCTTTAATAAACGAAACATTCAACTCGAATGAAACCTTTAGCATCGTATACATTATATTTGTATATCCGCAATATCCGCCGTTTCTCTCTGAAATCAAATCACTTCGTGATTCGATTATCAGTCGTTCCACGCTTATGATGGAAATTTGAATTTCACTTCTCTCTTGCATGTCTGATTAATATCATGTCCGACAATCATTCCGTTTTGTGATTTAGAAAGTATTATTATCAAGTCTCATTTCACGCAAATGGATAACTCGCGAACTGTCAATTCTCTCTAACAGAATTTTTAACATACAAATAAAAACTAAATTTTTAGAACTAAAATTTCTTTTGTGCTAAGTAATTAATATACACATATGCATAATTTTATATTTATGAGGATAAAAATTAATAGTGATTACAATCAGGGCAAAAGAGAATAATGCGCTATGAGGATATATTCGAATGTATTCTCTTAAATTAAAATCAACAATTGTATTAAGTTCATCTAAGCAATTTCAATTAAATTATCTAAGCAATTTTGTACATAAGGAAATTTTTGTTAAAAAGAATTTGTTTTAGAATATTTTTTAATTGAGCCACATCTAGCGTTTACAATCACATATTAAGCATTTATAAAATAAGAATGCTTTTTTATCTATTGTAATAATCTTATATTAACTTCACTAAAGATGGAGCAATATGAGAGAATTGAAAGTTTGATATATCAGGAAAATATATTCCTTCATCAAATAATCTGTAAAGATGACGCGTTTACGAGGAGAGAATCACTTCGTTTGCAGTAAAAGGCGACAACAACGGGTCTTCGTGTTTAGGGTAGAGCCATTCTCTTTCTTACACACACACACACACACACACTCTCTCTCTCTCTCTCTCTCTCTCTCTCTCTCTCTTATTTTCTCTCGGTTAGGGTTCAAGGGATCGGTAGTGATTCGGATGATGGTGAGAGGGTTCTTCCGTGGAGTATCGGGTGGGCAGAGGTGGATAACGTTCCGGATAACGTTCGGATAACACTCGGATAACGGTGGGATAATTGGTAGCGGTGATCAGACCGAGTTTTATGATCAGGGAACATGCTCCTGTTGCCACAGTAGAAATTCTTCTCACTCTATCGGTCGTGGCCTGTCTTTCTCTTACGTTTTTATCCGTAACCGTGTCTTTGTTCCGCGACGTGGAAAGAAATGCCCGAGGAAAAGTTTGGTGAGGGTAAGTCGACTAAACGGTCGAAATATACAGAGAAAGAAAGCAAAAGAAAGTCCGATTCGCATCGTATTTTTACGACTGACCCCCTCATAAACACTCACTGAGTTACGGGTTGTTTGCTCTGTCGAAACTGGGCTTTAGGGGCGCTTTATCCGCTATCCAAACGTATCCACGAAACGTGCTCTCTGGGATAGCAAAGAATCGGTCTCTTCTTTTTTATGCTTCTCTCTCTTTCTCTCCCTCTCTCTGTCTCTCTTCCCTCTTTCCTTCGAATTGACGCATACGCTTCTCGCGGACTTCTGCAAATGATGGCCCGCAGCTTGCTTCCGTACTTTTGTATGCTGGATAGAAAACGTATCGTGTACTAAAACATTCAAGTGCCTTTGTGAGATTCTTCTCCGTGAGTATCATAAATGTCTTTGTGTTCTTCAGTTGATTTTATTCCAATTTACAAGAGTATGTTATCAATGTTATTAATGTTATAAGACTTGCGTGAATTGATGGTTACAATAACATCCTATAATATAAGATTTTCGCAGACACAATTAAAAATTTTTTCTGAATTAAATTTCAGAAGCTTCACTTTATTAAACTTTCTTATTATATATACAGCATGTATATATAATAAAAAATTGACATCGACGCTATTCTTTGCTGACGAAACGCTTTCTTAGCTGAATCAACAATATTAATAATTGCGACGCATATGTATTACCAGTGAATTCGAGCGATAGTTAAAGGGATATTCGCGAGGGAAATGACGGAAGAGAGGCTTGTGAGTATCGAGGGACGAGGAGAGCGAGAGCTCGGCGACCTGAACGTCGTCGTTCGCATTGGGCAAAGTGGAAACCCGTGTACGCCAGATTATCATCCCGAGTCAATCCTGATCACAGTTCCATCGTGCCGCAAACAGGCAACCCACGACCTTTTCAGCCCTTCCTTCCGCCTGCCGGTGCCATCGCCTCCGTTTTCTCGCTTACTCTCCGACTGGGAAACCAGTTTCACTAGAAAGAGTACATCTTTTGCGCGCGATTGAAATCGATGGAGCTCTGCGAGGACGTCCCGCTGCTGCCCTACGTTTCAGTCGATTATTGTGGCCAGAGAATGACACGCGGAATATTTTCATGGATGGAAATGGACATGATGAAGGAGAGAGAGAGAGAGAGAGAGAGAGAGAGAGAGAGCGCAAGAAACGTCGTGAAGGTCCATCAAATTCGCAATTTCAACTATTTTTCCAATTCCTCAGAGATTCAGCCTGTATTATTCCCCACTTGCTTCTATTCTGCTCTCCATCGGCGATCAGCAGTCCATTAAAGCTTAATAGCCGAAGCATTAGGCCCCAGGGCAGATTTTGTTCCAACGGAAGTGAGATAAATGTCTTTTTCAAATACTTCTAGTCCCTCGTGATCTGTTGATAGCGATGCTAAAATTGTTATTTGTCTTTTGAACGATTGTGTTTTTATACTATCGATCAAAAAACACTTTCAAATAATTTAATCTTATTGGTTAGTAAATGCAAATTATTTAATTTCTATGAAAGCTTTTTAATTCATAAAGTTAAATTTTATTATAAACAATAATCAAATTTATACAAATACTTTTATAATATTTGTATAAATACTAATAGTATTTATACAAATACTATTAAAGAAAAATGTATTAACATATCTGTTTAGAAAATTAAAGGGATTTTTATAAAATATAAAAATATATATTTTATGTTTTGTATTTGTCAAATGCCTCATCCTTTCTTTATTAATTACGCGGAAATTCTAGGAGCATATCGCTATCTGTCCACATGTACTTTCGAATTGTGCCATAATCTTTTTCATGCGAATTCTGCACAGAATTTTATTATTATAGAACGGAATCATACAAACGTTAATTCAAAATACGTCTTAAGACGACGACGGTGTCGACGACGCTCGTGCACGACTTGTCGGAACTTGCAAGCATGCATATCCTTCTCGGTTCACTCCTCCATATCGAGCTAATGATGCGCGTCGGTTGGATCATCAATCATACTTTCATTACGTAGATCCCAGCTGCTCCACATTGACTTCGTGGCCCGTGGGGCATTGTTATTATTCCGAGATGAGAGATGCATTCCGCGCACAAGAGCGCACTAACGTTTCGCGCGTTACACACTCCGTGTGCGCGTGAATTCCCGCTTATCAATCCCGATATCGGTTGTAGAAACCATGCCGATCGGTGATTTTATGATTTACCTCGTTTGCCTTAACGATTGTAGATCCGTATCTGCGTTCACGGAGACTGTAACACGCATTTTATTTCCTCGGGATGAGTTGCGCAAGTTGTTTAATATTTTGAAAACACATATGAAGTACATCATATATTGTCTGTAATATTTGTCGCAGTTCTGATACCAATATTTTAATATTAATGAAAAATACATTGTCGACATATTAAATTACGAGTAACGATTTTGTGGTAATCATTATTACATAAAAATTTTTCCTAACAATTCTTAATTTGT